ACTGACCCACCGCCAAACCGGTCATGCTGGAGGATGTTGCAGGCAGCAGAACGTTCTCCATGGCATCTCCAGACTGTCACGTCTGTCACATGTGCTCAGTGTGAACCTGCTTTCATCTGTGAAGAGCACAGGGTGCCAGTGGCGAATTTGCCAATCTTGGTGTTCTCTGGCAAATTCCAAACGTCCTGCACGGTGTTGGGCTGTAAGTACAACCCCCACCTGTGGACGTTGGGCCCTCATACCACCCTCATGGAGTCTGTTTCTGACCATTTGAGCAGACACATGCACATTTGTTTCCTGCTGGAGGTCATTTTGCAGGGCTCTGGCAGTGCTCCTCCTGCTCCTCCTTGCACAAAGGCGGAGGTAGCAGTCCTGCTGCTGGGTTGTTGCCCTCCTACGGCCTCCTCCACGTCTCCTGATGTACTGGCCTGTCTCCTGGTAGCGCCTCCATGCTCTGGACACTACGCTGACAGACACAGCAAACCTTCTTGACACAGCTCGCATTGATGTGCCATCCTGGATGAGCTGCACTTCCTGAGCCACTTGTGTGGGTTGTAGACTCCGTCTCATGCTACCACTAGAGTGAAAGCACCGCCAGCATTCAAAAGTGACCAAAACATCAGCCAGGAAGCATAGGAACTGAGAAGTGGTCTGTGGTCACCACCTGCAAAACCAGTCCTTTATTGGGGGTGTCTTGCTAGTTGCCTATAATTTCCACCTGTTGTCTATTCCATTTGCACAACAGCATGTGAAATTGTTTAAGTGTTCCCTTTTATTTTTTTGAGCAGTGTATGTGTGAAATTAGTTTTGATTTAAAATGGACCATTATCATTCACCTGTCTCGAAAAGGGGCAGGGGAAGAAATACATGTCATCTATGCACTTAAATAACGAATGGAGGACGCTTTTCCCGTGGTTAATTGTTTTATGCCAGCCAGGTAGGCTATACTCCTGTTGTAAAGAGAAGCAATGTGCTTAATATTAGGAAAGTTAAGAAATAAATATAGTAGGCCTAGCCTTTTAATAGAGGCCACCACTCTGTTTTCTCAAGCAAATGCATAGCCTGTAGAAATGTTGCGCAACATGAGCACATGGGCTCTCATGAAGTGTTTGATTAGATTTTCGATCATATTTGCATTGATGTCAGAGTGATTAGAGGGACAATAGAGTGTTATGTACCAGGCAGTTAGCAAGGTTGGAAGGCTAATGACCATCAGCAGCATCAGAGCTTGGAGAAGCCCAATTACCTCGACTAAACAGTCAGGTGGAATTTGACTGCCTTCATGACCGGTGTGTGGCGGTAATATGGTCACCGTAACAGCCCTAGTTATGAATCAATGAATGTGCACAAATTGGAGGTAGAGAGCACATCCTGGACAGAGAAGTGCATCTGGGCGCATGGTCAATCCGATGTCTGCATTGGCCATGCAGCATTTATGGGGACATGGCCTCAGCAGAAGTCAGGGCATTCATACTTCTTGCGCTTCACAGAGCTGTTGTTAAGGAAGTGAGTTTGTGTTTATACACGATGTACCACCCCCACCTACCATCAACCAATCATGTAAATGCGGAGCTACACAGAGCCCTTCGCATTGTTACAACATTTGGGAGGCGCATGGCGATGCGGTACAGAACTCGATTTGGCCTCTGCATGCCTCTGGAGGCTCCGCAATTGCAACACACCCTCCATATGGAGCCTCCGACAACATTTTCGGATCAAGCATTAATTGGCTTTTAGTCTAGGCCTCAACAATTGATTAGTTCATAGAAATGAGTAGGTGTTCTAAAACGTTTGACCGGTAGTGTATATATACAGTACCAGTCAAAAGTTTGGACACACCTACTCATTCAAGGTTTTTTCTTTATTTTTACTATTTTCTACATTGTAGAATAATAGTGAAGAAATCAAGACTATGAAATAACACACATGGAATCGTGTAGTAACCAAAAATGTGTTAAATTTTTGATTCTTCAATGTAGCCACCCTTTGCCTTGATGACAGCTTTGCACACTCTTTGCATTCTCTCAACCAGCTTCATGAGGTAATCACCTGGAATGCATTTAAATTAACAGGTGTGCTTTGATAAAAGTTAATTTGTGGAATTTCTTTCCTTCTTAATGCGTTTGAGCCAATCAGTTGTGTTGTGACAAGGTAGGGGGGGTATACAGAAGATAGTCCATATTATGGCAAGAACAGCTCAAATAAGGAAAGAGAAACGACAGTCCATCATTACTTTAAGACATGAAGGTCCGTCAATACGGAAAATGTCAAGAATCAAGTGCAGTCGCAAAAACCATCAAGTGCTATGATGAAACTGGCTCTCATGAGGACCGCCACAGGAAAGGAAGACCCAGAGTTACCTCTGCTGCAGAGGATAAGTTAATTAGAGTTAACTGCACCTCAGAAATTGCAGCCCAAATAAATGCTTCAGAGTTCAAGTAACAGACACATCTCAAAATTGTTTTTGTCCAAAATATTAAGTAATTGAAACTGAAACAGTGCATCCCGAATGGCTGGAGGAAGAAAACAATGTACCAGGCCAGCTGGGATCTGCAACGTGATAGCAATATTTGTTGAACTACCAAGACATACTGTATATTGGTGAATTATATTAATCATGCATTGAACTGCATCCATCTATTCAGCCAAAAATGCCTTATACGTCATGGAATTTGTCAAATATAACCTATTTTTAAAACCTCTTTCTTATAAAGGTCACTGTCTCCCAGTGTTTTTTTTTACACAAGCCTTTTCAGTGTCCTAAGACATTCCAAGAAGGGCATGTAACCCACCCACCCACACGCATCACAGCTTGGGGGGGGGGGGGGTGATTATGCACGCTCAAGTTTTCTGTTTTTTTGTCTTATTTCTTTTTTTTTCTTATTTTATATCTTCAAAGTGGTAGGCATGTTGTGTAAATCAAATGATACAACCCCCCCCCCCAAAATCTATTTTAATTCCAGGTTTAAGGCAACAAAATAGGAAAAATGCCAAGGGGGTGAATACTTTAGCAAGCCACTGTACATCTGGTGTAATTAGAAGTAAGAAGTTATTGGTAACATGATTGTCTATTTTTATGTTGATTTCTTTACTCAAATTGACCATGAAGATTGCCATTTTTCCATTCACTATAATGGGGGGGCGGGGTCATGTTTTCTGCTAACAATGTCTGCAGTACAACAGTCGGCCTTCAACTTCCATGGCTTCAATGTCTACCCAAGGCCCTGGGTAGTCGTTTTCCCCAGCATGCAGCTGAAAGAGAGGAGGAAGGGAACTAGGGGAGTTAGTATGCCATATTGATGGATGGGTGACTTTGGCCATGACTTTCAAGTGGTTTTCTTGGCTATACATCAGCGTTTATGTAATAAAATTCAGCCTAACCTTGAGTAGTGATGTCTTTATACATTTAAATGTGTGCCTATTGGAAAATCGCCAATATCTGACTCACCATAGACAACCTTTGACTGCCATTAAAAAAAAAAAATGTTGTGTGTTCTCATATAGTTAACCTAGGTGTTGTTGCGCTGCCTGGAAAGTTTTGAGAATAGAATGTCTCTAGTATAGGCTAGTGCTCTCTGCCACTTTTTTATTTTATTTGTCATATTTGAATTGCAAGCCCTATCCTACGCTAATGGATGAGTCAGCCAATTTTGATAGTGAGTATTTTACTCATCCAGTTACTTTATCAGTTAAATGTAACCCTGCCCCGCCATCACTCTCTCTTTCCACCACCATTTTTTGTGTCCGTCTTCCTGGAATCAATCAGCGGGTATAATGAATCCCTCTCTCTCTCCCTCTCTGCTTTTTCACGCTCTCTCTCACTCCATGACTCTCCCTCTAACCTCACAGGAAATTGCAGTCATTTTCATGTTAAATTTGCACCCTCGTTCTCTCTCTTTCTCTCACTCTCTACATCAGCCATAGTGCTGCTGAGTATGACCTACAAGAAACTGTAATGCCGCATTTCCACTGAGGATTTACCCAGGTGTTTTACCCAAAAGGCTCAGGCTTTTCTGTTTCCATCTACGCAGGCCGGCACCCATGTCTCACTGGGCCATGGCTCCAGCGGACCTGCTCTGACTTGGATGCTATTCTCATTGACAAACATTTAAGGAGAGGCAGCGTGACGAGATTGCAATTTACATAATATGTACATAAACTTTTCAATTTACATTACATCCTTGCTTTACCTTTCGTTGTGGCTGACAACGTGACATTCTTAACATGGAAGTCAGGAGGTAGCGTTCAAGACGTGAGAAATGCGCAAGTTACATTACAGTAATGAGCCAATGGCTAACTTTAACACCTTATCACAAAGCAACAGTCTTGAATGATGCAGAGGTTGTTGATTCTGCTCGCCACAAGTCTTTAGTGTCACACTCCTGATGGAAACACAATAACACTAGAGCTGACATTAACATAAAACACTGGCGGCCCACTGGTGTCGGGGTAAGTCTCAATGGAAAAGCAACATCAGTCACTTCATTTGCTTGGATTTTTATTTTCTCTCCTTCTTTCCAGTCTTTCTCACTTCTTCCTCTCTCTTTCCTTTCAGCTCCCCCTCTTCCGTGTTGAGATGTAGTACCTTGGCTTGTGTTGTACCCAGAGGTTCCCTGGCCCACAGCCAGCCATGCAGGAGCTTTCATAGTTAATGAATGCTATTTCTTCCCCTTGTCTCTTCAATCTGCTTAATGTAATTTCACACACAGTTTTGCGGGAATCCGTATGACGTGCATGCATAAGTGTGTGTATGTTTTCCTTTGGGAAGGAGAGAGTCAGGCAATTAATCATTTAAGAGTGTGTACCCTATTTGAATTGCTTCTTATTAGGTTTGGTCATTTTAGGATGATGTTTGTCTCAGTGCATTCAGCCTACTTTTCAGTCCACTTAGGCTACACTACAGTGGGTGACCGAATAAATAAGAAAGGAGCAAAGGTTCCGCTGTAAGAGACTTAAAGTAGGCCTACGTCTTTGAAAATAGAGCCTTAATACATTTTCCGATGGTGGACGGGGTGGTGGTGGCTGGCAGTAGTGAATGGACGAAAGTAGTTAAAGAGCGATGAGGCTTGTTCTCTCCCTAATTGAGAATCAATAGGTAAGCCTAGGTGGTGGCAATTGTTGGTTGTTTTTCTCTTCTTTTCATTGGGTCAAAGCTTGTGTTCCAAATGGCACCCTATTCCCTATATGTTGCCTTTATGGTCCCTTTAATTCACTATAAAGGGAATAGGGTGCCATTTGGGATGTAGCCAAAGTGAACTGGCAGCCCACCCTGCCCTGGTTTTGAAAGCTCTCAAATAGCACACTAAGAGCTAGTCAAGTGGGTTTCGTTTATACTAACAAGGGTGATGTCGCAGCAAGACAGGATCTAGGCCCAGTTCTCTTACCACCATTTACTGTCCTCTCCTGTCTCCCTCATCTTCTGTTCCCTATTTGCCAACAGCAGGGTGTGAGCAGGAGCACTAGCAATAAAGCCTGTCTTTGTGTTTCCTAATTGACTACAAGGAACAGGGAAATTACGCATTACGCTACCACTAGAGACGAAGACATTGGTTGAGTCCCAAATGGTACCCTATTCCCTATCTGGTCAAAAGTAGTGCACTATAGGGAATAGTGTACCATTTGGGACTCATCAATACTCTTTTAAAGATATCCAAGGCAAATGCTTTTTTATTGACATTCAAGGCAAACGGTAGCTTTGAACATGGCAGTTAGTGCTGAGCGATTAGTGCTTTTTGAGGTTGGTTCGATTATAAAAAAAGTAATCACGGTTTTCAATTTCAGTATAATTTTTTTTGGGACATTAAATGCACTATGGATTATTTACATTTACATTTTTACATTTTAATCATTTAGCACACGCTCTTATCCAGTGACTTACAGTTAGTGAGTGCATACATTATGTGGGTTGAATGATGTAACAACAGAATAAAACAATGAATCAAAGTCCCATGAAGGTAGTGACTACCCATTACTGCTTATTAACCATGATTTATTCACATTACTTTATTATTTCATTACAAGTCATCATCTCATCTCTATGCTATGCTGTCTGACAAAATCAAAATATAGTAGTTCTTCAAAGTAAATAAGGCATACTTTTATGACTGCAGAATAACAACTATCAATCACTTAGATTATGTATTTTCAGGGAGGGATACCTCGCGAAGCAACTGCTCTCTATCCCTCTCCATCGTGCCTTCTCTATTCTTTTCGTATCCGTGTCTGCTCCACACAGAACGGACAAGTAGGCAGACGCACAATGGATTATGGTCATTGTAGTTGATAACCATGTTTTCGGCGCTAAACTATGTAGAATATTGGCCTGTTGGAAACTACTACATCGCACAGTTCGGGCTTGATCTGATTTATCGCTACAGAAACTGCTCATCAAGCTCACAGAAACAAAAATAACAAAATGGAATTCAAATAATTGAACTGACGTCGGTCAATGAGTTGTTTAAAAAACGAAAAATAACTGACATTTCGGTTAATCGCTCAGCACTAATGGCAATAGCTTTTAACGTTGCTCGCTTGGTTAGGCTATGCTTTCTATGCACACTGCTGTCATAAAATCCTGTTATTTGCAGTGATGCTAATTCAGAAAGATGGCACGCTGCAGGGTTCTGACCGTCTCACCCCAACCCACTCTCCCTCTCTCCCCTACTTCCCTCTCTCTCCTTGTCTTCCTCCTCTCTTCTCTACTCTTTCCTCCCCCTCTTCACCCCACCCCCACCTCTCTTTTGACTCTCCCCTCTCACTGTCTCGCCGCTTCTACCTCCACCCTCTCTCCCTGCCTCCCTCTCTCTCTTCCTTCCCCTCTCTCCCTGCCTCCCCTACCCCCTCTCCCCCAGCTCCTGGGCCTGTGTGTGCTGTGCGTGGGGGTGTACGCGGAGGTGGAACGCCAGAATAACCGTACCCTGGCGGGGGTGTTCCTGGCCCCTGCTGTGGTGCTCATCCTGCTGGGCCTGGTGATGTTCACCGTCTCCCTGGTGGGCATGGTGGGGTCCCTCAGGGACAACAAGACCCTGCTACACATGGTGAGAGTGGGGAGGGATGGAGCGGTGGGGAGACCCTGCTACACATGGTGAGAGAGGGGAGGGATGGAGCGGTGGGGAGAGGAGACCCTGCTACACATGGTGAGAGAGGGGAGGGATGGAGCGGTGGGGAGAGGAGACCCTGCTACACATGGTGAGAGAGGGGAGGGATGGAGCGGTGGGGAGAGGAGACCCTGCTACACATGGTGAGAGGGGGGCGGGAGGAGGAATGGAGAGGGAGATGAGAGAGGGAGGAAAGGAGGCAGGGGGAAGGTATGGAGGAGGAAGCACATGGTGAGAGAGTAAAGGGATGGGGATGGAGGGGTAGAGAAGGGAGGAAAGGAGGGCGAGAGGGGGAGGAAATGGTGGAGAAGAGTAGGGATAGAGACATAGGGAGGAGAAGAACCCCCTCACATAGAGCGGGGTGGGAGAAAGGGATGGAGAAGTTGAGGGGGTAGGGAGGGAGGAGGGGACTGACTGGGGGTATGTCAGTAAGCCGTCAGTAAGCCTGAGGACGGTTGCCTATCTCAGCCCAGCAAGCCACCTGCAGGCCAGTTTGTTCTCAATCAATTATCTCTCCCTCCAAACTGGGATATACTCTCTGGTTTGTGTCATGCTAAGTTCATTCTAAGTACCCCCCCCCCCCCCTCTCTCTTCCGCTCTCTCTCCCCCCTTCCCCTCACGTCCTCTCTCGCTCACTATTCAATTCAAAGGGCTTTATTGGCATGGGAAACATGCCAAAGCAAATGGAATAGACAATAACCAAAAGGGAATGAAAGAAGGGAAATGAACATCTCTTTTTCTCTCTCTCCTCTCCACCAGTTCTTGTGTGTTCTGTGTGTCCTACTGTTCCTGCAGACTGTGGCTCTCATCGTTGCACTCATCTTTGAGAAGAAGGTCAGTTCTCTAATCTCTGGCACCTACACACATGCATGCACACACACATACTTCATATGTAACATGATACAGCAGTGTCCCCTCTGGCATAGCCTCCAGCCACGATAAGATCACATCACAGCAGCATTCAATGTGATGGAGGATGACTTTCATCGCTCATCATCCCCACCCCTCTCTCTCTACTCTTCCTCCTCTCTCTCTCTCTCCCTGTAGACATCAGCCTTGTTCCAAAGCAGCATACGAGAGGGAATTAAACACTATTACGATGATCTGGACTTCAAAAACATCTTGGACTTTGTGCAACAGAAGGTAAGATTTGTAAGTCGCTCTGGATAAGAGCGTCTGCTAAATGACGTACATGTAAGAGAGGACTCGCTTTTCATTAACAGAAGCAACAGACAGGAAATAGTGACGTGGGTCTGGATGTGTGTGTGTGTATTGAATGTAGGATACACTGAGATGGATAGAGTATGATTGATGACTGAAAAAACAACAGACTGAAGCCTGTCATTATTAAATCCTCCCCCACTACACACACACAAACACGCTAGCTTTTGAGAGGTTGGCTAATTTAGTATTTTATCTCTGCCATTCATCCTGGTTAATTAATCAGACGACATTATAAGCCTCACTGCTGCAGGCATTCAGTTCTTTCATTTTCCATCATTGTTCACACCTCTCAAAGCTTTCATTTCCGTCTTTGTAACAAATGGCACACACGATTCCCTACATAGTCTGCTACTTTTGACAGAGCCCTATGAGGCCTGGTCAAAAGTAGTACTCTATATAGGGAATAGGGTGCCATTTGGGGAACATTTGTTGTCATTTGTACTGCTATTAGGGTGCCTCTATCTCAATCACCAGCGGAGTACCAAGCTGTTGAGCTTCACAAAGAGAACAAATACAATAACATTTACATTTTAGTCATTTAGCAGACGCTCTTATCCAGAGCGACTTACAGTTAGTGAGTGCATGCATTTTTCATACTGAATAACAAGCTGCTGCTGCCACTATAATGATACCAAAATATACCAAAAGCGTTGACCTGCTGTCGTTGCTCTACGTTGTCCCAGGGCTGCTATCAACATGCTAGGTTATCCATCTGATTTCCTACAGCCAGGAGTTTTTATTTGAGTGTCAGAAAGTCCTGGTTTACCTGGGCCCTCTCTGGCAATCTCCACATCGATATCCATTTGCTGGGGGAAATGGGTGTGAGATTAAAGTCAATGAATGAAGCCAGCCCTGCCCTGGGTTGAAGGGATAAGAATGGGTGCTTCCCAAATGGCTATTATCTACAGTGAGGGGAAAAAAGTATTTGATCCCCTGCTGATTTTGTACGTTTGCCCACTGACAAAGAAATTATCCGTCTATAATTTTAATGGTAGGTTTATTTGAACAGTGAGAGACAGAATAACAACAAAAAAAATCCAGAAAAACGCATGTAAGAAATGTTATAAATTGATTAGCATTTTAATGAGGGAAATAAGTATTTGACCCCCTCTCAATCAGAAAGATTTCTGGCTCCCAGGTGTCTTTTATACAGGTAACGAGCTGAGATTAGGAGCACACTCTTAAAGGGAGTGCTTCTAATCTCAGCTTGTTACCTGTATAAAAGACACCTGTCCACAGAAGCAATCAATCAATCAGATTCCAAACTCTCCACCATGGCCAAGACCAAAGAGCTCTCCAATGATGTCAGGGACAAGATTGTAGACCTACACAAGGCTGGAATGGGCTACAAGACCATCGCCAAGCAGCTTGGTGAGAAGGTGACAACAGTTGGTGCGATTTCTCGCAAATGGAAGAAACACAAAATAACTGTCAATCTCCCTCGGCCTGGGGCTCCATGCAAGATCTCACCTCGTGGAGTTGCAATGATCATGAGAACGGTGAGGAATCAGCCCAGAACTACACGGGAGGATCTTGTCAATGATCTCAAGGCAGCTGGGACCATAGTCACCAAGAAAACAATTGGTAACACACTACGCCGTGAAGGACTGATATCCTGCAGCGCCCGCAAGGTCCCCCTGCTCAAGAAAGCACATAATGTCCTCAGGGATCCAGTCCAAGGTGACAGGGGAGGTTCTGACCTGAGCAGGGAAGCAGTCACTCACTGGGATTGTTTTCTCTGACTTCATTAAGATACATGCTGCCTGTGTTTGGTGCTGTTTTAAGATTGATGTACCAGTTAACTTTATCCTCTGATTTAAACTAACTCTCTCTCTCTCTCTCTCTCTCTCTCTCTCTCTCTCTCTCTCTCTCTCTCTCTCTCTCTCTCTCTCTCTCTCTCTCTCTCTCACACATTCTCTCTCTCTCTCTATCTCTCTCACATTCTCTCTCTCGGTTTCTCTTTCTCTCTCCCCCTCTTTCTGTATCTATCTCTTTCTCTCTGTTTCTTTTCCTCCCCAGTTCTCTTGTTGTGGTGGGGACGAGTACAAGGACTGGGGTGTCAATCAATACCATTTCTGCAATGGCACCGGGCCACTGGCCTGTGGCGTTCCTTATACATGTTGTGTCCGCCGCAAGGTGAATGCTATCATCAACACGCACGCACACACTCAGTTGATTTTTTAAAGCTCCGCTGGCACCATGCTCCAGCTCCTCTGCCTGTCACCTGTTACCTAGACCGTCTCGTGTGTGTGTGTGTGTCAGGTAGGAACTGATAACACATCAACCTTAGCCAATATTATACCTGCCCTCCCTATCATCTGCTCACATCTCTGGGGAGACATGTCTCTGTGGATCTCATTTAGTGCTCCTCCAGACACACACAAAACACTGAGCCTTGCAGGGGTAGTGAGAAGCATCAGTGACCTGTAGCAATAAGGGATCTTCATTTCATTTAAACGAAGATCAGTTCTGGGAAACTGAAGAAGTCTCTAAACCCCAAATCAATACTCTACTCTTTAAATCATACACTAAGACCCTGTTATTTGTAAAGGTGATCTTCACACCCAGATGAAATGGGGGTGAATGTCATTCTGCCACACAGAATCACATACCCATCAGGGAGACCTTTCCTTGTGCTTTGATGAGTAAGTTAACCATGTCCTAGCTCCAACAACGTCTACTGTTCATCTTTGGTGTTTGCGTGCACAGGTCAGATATTGTGAGAGACAGAGTAAGAAAGAAAGCCAATCAGACCTCTAGCCATGAGTTGAGTGAGTGACTGGAGGGATCCATGTTCTGCTCTCAGTACAGCCCTTCTCCACCTGCCTCATGCTGCATTACTAGGCAATTAACGCTGGTTGAATTGGTTACAGTGAAATGTGTAGAGTCACTCAGGCACAGGAAGAGACCCCGAGGCCTTGGCGTCAGTTGAGGGAGTGGGAGCTAATTAAATCAATTTACTGAACTCATGATTCATTTTCTCGCTCCCTGTCTAACACACCCTCTTGCTCTCTCTCTCTCTGTTTCTCTCTCACTCCGTCTTTCTCTCTCTCTCTGCCTTGTCTGTTTGTCTTTCTGCTCTCTCTGTCTCTCGTCTTTCCCTCTTCCTCTGGTCTGTACCCACGCAGGGCAACTCCACAGCACCACCAAGCTATAAACACTGATTAGGGAATGTCCAGCTCTCTGCCATGTACTCCACAACGTGTGTGTGTGTGTGTGTGTGTCGGTGTCCTGCGTGCATAAATGTACTTTTAACAACAAGCATACTTACTTGACTTCAAAAAAACAAAATGAATAAATGTCCGTTCTTTGCACATGACTTCATAATCGTATTCTCTTCCTTTCACGTTTTTCCCAGGTGGGAGAGGTTGTCAACACTCTTTGTGGTTACAAGACTCTCAGCCAGCAGGTAAGGGGAAGATAAGTGATATCCCAGTCCTAATAGGCTGTGAAATCTTTACCCCCTCCATTTCCCCTCAGTGTGCTGCTTGTTTGTTGGCCTTCATTAGTCTGTGGAGCTTGTCATTCTGCACAGAGACAGAAGCTATGTTTCAAATGGCACCATATTCCATATATGGTGCACTACTTTTGACCAGGGCCTGCATAGGTTGTGCACTATATAGGGAATAGGGTACCATTTGGGATGCAACACGGAAAAGAGCAGCAGCAGGAGAATTGACTTTCATGGCCCCAAAATGTTTGTTCTCTAGCTGCTGCATGCGGTAAATAAGGTAATTGGGTATCACTGTATTATGGCTGCTGGTATTGGAATATTGATTCAGCTGTCTCTGTTTTCTGTCTTTGAGCTGTTCTTCAACATATTTTCTTTGATACAGTTTTTTTTGGGGGAATAGTTTAACAGATTTTTAAAGGCAAAGTATTAGTTTGACGTAATATAATGTATTTTCCCACTGTTTTTCTATTAATGTTAGCATTGTAGTGCCTCATCATTGTGAAATGACTGTCTTTGTTTTTGCCTTAATGCGATGTATACAAACTGAATTACAATCAGTCAAATGCATTTCATGTAGTCTCTCTCTCTTCCTCCCTCTCTCATTCATTCTGCCGGTCTCCTTTCTTTCTCTGTCAGCGTGAGCTCCTGGATGAGGTGATCCATGTGCGAGGCTGTATCCATGCTGTCAACCTGTGGATGGGTGACAACGTGGGAGCAACTATCGGGCTATGCTGTGCTATAGGTCTGCCACAGGTCAGTCACAGACTCACACACTCGCTTGCGCCAGGTGAGAGAGTGTGTGGTGTGTATTTATTCACTCAGTCTTTCATTTTTTACATTTTAGTCATTTAGCAGATGCTCTTATCCAGAGCAACTTACATTATTTTTTTATTTTTCATACTGGCCCCCCGTGGGAATCGAACCCACAACCCTGGCGTTGCAAACGCCATGCTCTACCAACTGAGCTGCATCTCTGCCGGCCATTCCCTCTCCTACCCTGGGCCAATTGTGCGCCGCCCCATGGGTCTCCCGGTCGCGGCCGGCTACGACAGAGCCTGGATTCGAACCAGGATCTCTAGTGGCACAGCCTTAGACCACTGCGCCACTCGGGAGACTATCCCCGGGAGGTTTCTCCCAGCCCCATTTGCATTTTGATTGCCTCCTAGCCAGTCTGTGTCTCTGTCCACTGCTTTATTAGTATTTTGTCTGCCTCACACACAGAACTAAACAATGTCTGCGTTCCAAATGGCACACTATCCCCCTATATAGTGCACTACTTTTGACCAGGGCCCATAGGGAATAGGGTGCCATTTGGAACACGCACAATGTGATGTGAATGGTGTCTGTAGTAAGCACTCCCCCTGATGTACATTTGGGCTTAGCTAGGCAACCCTCTCCCTGCACTGTTGGCAACATGGCCTAGCCTACATGTAGCTTAGCCAGTTTACACTTCATGATACAGTACCTCTAACGTTAATGCTTTCATAACCAACAAGGAGCTGGATGATTTTATTGTGTTCAACTCAATTTGAATAAATCAGAGTTTTTTGTTTACTCTTATTATCTATTCACTTTGATTCATTTTTAGTTCTAGTTTAGAGCGTTCGTCTGTCTGCCTCGCACTTCTTTTGTCTCCCCCACCCTATCTCACTTCTTTTGTCTCCCCCACCCTATCGCACTTCTTTTGTCTCCCCCACCCTATCGCACTTCTTTTGTCTCCCCCACCCTATCGCACTTCTTTTTACTTTTATCCTCTCTCTATTCCTGGCCTCCTGTGCTGTGAAAGTTTTGCAGCCAGACTTCTATGCGAGCCCCCTTGGAGATGTGTAATTACACCATACTGATTCTGCAGCAGCTGCACTATTAGATGATTAGCCTAATCTTTGGGGATGAGGTGCAATACAGACAGTACACCAGGGTTCACTAGACCACAAACTGTCTGCAGAAAACGTTCTCATACTGAAAAGGAAACTGAGGGTTCTTATCAGGCAAGCTCAGCTGGGAACTAGTTAATTTCAAAGCACTTGGGAATGGACAGCTGCACACTCAAGTTGGCTTGCCCAGGCATTGCCCACCTTGGGACCAAAGTAAGATATTACTTAATTGAAAAGTTGGATGTGTGTATGCCTCTGCAACTTTTGTGGTGTCAGGTACATACAAGCACATTAAACACACACGACAGTGCATTCTATTTAAATACATAGTTACATGGTCTAAACTGGTTTCTATGCGGTGGTCCTTGAATATCCATCTGGAATATTTCCCCCTGGCTGTGGGTACCAGTTCCTATGGGCCCTGGTCAAAACTATATAGGGAATAGGGTGTCAGAGTTCGATCCCCAGCCGAGTCACACCAAAGACTGTAAAAATGGGACCCAATGAATCTCTGCTTGGCACTCAGCATTATGGAGACAGATTGGGGGTAAGGCCATGCGATAGCCTAGGGTCCTGTCCAGGAGGTGTACTTGTACATCAAGCTGCCTCACGCTACAGAACCAGAAGATAGGCTCCTGCAAGGCTACTTCCATCTCTGCTGTGTACCCTGTCTCTCTCTCCAGCCTGCAGAGCTGTGGGTACTAGTCCCAGTGTCCGAGTCGAAATGTAACTGGTCTCTCTGCTGTGTTCGCTGTGTGTCTCTCCAGCTGATGGGCATCGTGCTGAGCTGTATGTTCTGGAACCTGCTGGTGGAGATGAATGAGTCCATGGACATGGTGGACTTCAAGATCCTCAAGAGGGCTGGCTTCGACTACAGCGAGCTGGACCTGGCTGGTGCTGGCTGCTGCCTGTGTCTACCCAGAGATGGAGGCTACCTCCCCCTGCCAGCCTTAAACCCCATCTTGTCTGACCCTGACCTAAAGCCCATCCCCATCCGGGTCCAGCGGCCCCTGCCCGTCCAGGTCCATAGGCCCCTGGCCCAATCACTCCAAGACCTCCAGCTATCTGGGCTTAGACTGGACGAGGTAGACATTGGGCGTAAGCAGAATAAGCAGAAAAGAAGGGAATATTGATTTTTGAATTTCCTCTGAGTTGTTTTGTTATTGTTTCGGTCACTCTGTTTGTTGAAGGACAGGTTAGACCTGTTGCACTATTTGGTGATCAAACCAATCAATGGTCATTCACTGACAGGATTACAGGTTATAATGCCCACGTTCCTAGCTGACTACATTGAAGACGCATGCCAGATCTCAAAACGCCTGCATAGGTGTTGAACATATCAGCTAACCACATTATATGATATAGCAATCTGATGCCTGACTGTGCAGTTGATGACGTGACACACAACCATTGGTTGATGCAATGCATGTAGTTGGCCTGGAACCCGACCAGAGGTTTGGCACTTTGGAAAGGCATTATTGGAGCAATCGTTATCCTGTTTTTTATAATTGTTTTGTCTTTCAAAGAACAAGGTGCTGCAGTGGCTTTTAGACACTAATTTAAGTGTTGTTTTTACCTTTTTAAAATAGAGCTTTCAAATGGAGCTGCGGTCTCTGCATTATTTTGAAATTTCCTATAATTTGTTCCAGGTATTTTATAAATATTTTATTTTGAGCTGCGTCTCATGTGCTAAAGCATACCTCAGGCTGTATTCAAATGACCCAGTAGTCAGAAGACAATTTACATGTTTATTTACTATACAGACTTGAAATTCTTAGTTTGAGATGATCATTCTAGTCAGAGCAGAGGAATGGGAGTAGCCAATCTTGTCTTGCATCTCGTGCAATGTCTGTGAAGGATGTGTAGCCTGTTTCTTTTTAGTATGAACTCTTTGATGTATGTATGTATGTATGTATGTATTGAGGAACAAAGTGGAAAGCATGTGTGTTTTGTATTTTAATGAAGTTAAAAAAGGAAACTTTACAGCTCTTTTAGGGTCTCATCAGGGGGTTTTCAGTCTCTTCCATTTTTTAAAGACTTGTTTTTATATACTTAGCTTTTTTGAAACAAAACCAATGTTATAAGGGATACAACAAATCCAGGTTAAGCTAGGATATTTTTCATATCTAATCTGATTTATTGCACTGTTTTGAGCTTCATCTTAGCTCTGGCCTTGTATAAACACTACTGTCATTGTCAATAAAGCTGTTTTGAATTTGATTTCTTTGCTGTAATGTCATTTATATTCTGCCTTTTAAACGTTTGATGCCTGCAAACATCTCCCATGTAAAGTGTGGCTGCGTCTGATATGGCACTATAACCCTATGGGCTCTGATCAAAAGTAGTACACTACGATATGGAGATTAGGGTGCCATTTCAGACGCGTCCTGTCTTTTAACGATGCTGTAATGGTCACATGGTTGATGTGGTGGATTTCCTGGGTCTGCTTCCCAAATGACACACTATTCCCTATATCATGCTAAATGGGTTATTCCTCAGAAGTGGTACAAATTGGGGGTTGGAAAAATATGCAAATGTCTATCCTATTCTTCCAAAACTTTCAGCACACGTATTCCAACATGTGTCATGTAGACATATACTATATATACTATGCCTTCGGAAAGTATTCAGACCCCTCGACTTTTTCCACATTTTGTTACGTTACAGCCTTATTCTAAAATGTATTCAATCGTTTTTTACCCTCAATCTACACACAATACCCCATAATGACAAAACAAAAACAGGTTTTTAGAAATTGTTGCTAATTAAAAAAATAAAGACAAAAAGAAATATCACATTTACATAAGTATTCAGACCCTTTACTCAGTACTTAGTTGAAGCACCTTTGGCAGCGAATACAGCATTGAGTCTTCTTGGGTATGACGCTACAAGTTTGGCACACCTGTATTTGGGTGGTTTCTCCCATTCTCTGCAGATCCTCTCCCTCTCAAGCTCTCAGGTTGAATGGGGAGCGTTGCTGCACAGCTATTTTCAGGTCTCTCCAGAGATCGGGTTCAAGTCGGGGCTCTGGCTGGGCCACTCAAGGACATTCAGAGACTTGTCCTGAAGCTATTCATGCGTTGTCTTGGCTGTGTGCTTAGGGTCGTTGTCCTGTTGGAAGGTGAACCTTTGCCCCAGTCTGAGGTCCTGAGCGCTCTGGAGCAGGTTTTCATCAAGGATCTCTCTGTACTTTGCTCTATTCATCTTTCCCTCAATCCTGACTATTCTCCCAGTCCCTGCCACTGAAAAACATCCCCCACAGCATGATGTTGCCACCACCATGCTTCACCGTAGGGATGGTGTCAGGATTCATCCAGACGTGATGCTTGGCATTCCGGCCAAAGAGTTCAATCTTGGTTACATCAGACCAGAGAACCTTCTCATGGTCTTAAGTGTCTTTAGGTGCCTTTTGGCAAAGTGGGCTGTCATGTGCCTTTTACTGAGGAGTGGCTTCCGTCTGGCCACTCTACCATAAAGGCCTGATTGGTGGGGTGCTGCTGAGATGGTTGTCCTTTGGAAGGTTCTCCCATCTCCACAGAGGAACTCTGGAGCTCTGTCAGAGTGGCCATCGGGTTCTTGGTCACCTCCCTGACCAAGGCCCTTCTCCCCCGATTGCTCAGTTTGGCTGGGAGGCCAGCTCTAGGAAGTGTCTTGGTGGTTCCAAACTTCTTCCATTTAAGAATGATGGAGGCCACTGTGTTCTTGGGGACCTTCAATACTGCAGACATGTTTTGGTACCCTTGCCCCAGATCTGTGCCTCGACACAATCCTGTTTAGGAGCTCTACGAACAATTCCTTCAAACTCATGGCTTGGTTTTTGCTCTGACATGCACTGTCAACTGTGGAAAGGTGTGTGCCTTTCCAAATCATGTCCAATCAATTGAAATATACCACAGATGGACTCCAAGTTGAAGAAACATCTCAAGATGATCAGTGGAAACAGGATGCACCTGAGCTCATAGCAAAGGGTCTGAATACTTATGTAAATAAGGAATTTCTGTCATCAAGGCAAAGGGTGGCTACTTTGAATCTTTTTGGGTTACTACATGATTCCATATGTGTTATTTAATAGTTTTACATTTACATTGATGTCTTCACTATTATTCTACAATGTAGAAAATAGTAAAAATAAGAAAAACCCTTGAATGAGTAGGTGTGTCCAAACTTTTGACTGGTACTGTATATACTACTCACACACTTTGTTTGTATTGCATATTTGAAATATTTACCTGAGGTCCTTACCACCCCACCAAACCTGTCACTACCAAAACATAGTGAAAAAGTTGCAATTAAGGGAGAACTGTGCACAGTAGTGATCATTTTGATTAACCTTCTATTACAGATACATTTTTGAAATTTTATTTGCATACCAAATTAATAAAATTGTCAACCTTAATTGAATTTAGAGAAATGTAATCTATTGATCTCTGTAAAATGTTTAAGGTTGATTGAATGAATCTGAAACGTATTGATTGAATTACTTATGCATCTAATTAATTATGTTGTTAGATGTTTAAATTATCACTTTACCTATCTTTATTTTGGGAAAATACCAGGCATTTCAGTGTCAAGTGTCAATCATAGAGATAAATGGAGGACTCTAGATGGATATAACTCGTTTAAGTATAGACATTACCATTGAGGGCTGGGCGTCCACCATTTAAAAGTAGTCAAGTGGGTGGGGATTCCATTTTGTTGGGAGTGATCAGCCAATGATTAGAGAGCATAGTCTTCTTCAAATTGGGTTGCCTATGGTTTGTAAAGCAAAGGCTAAGGTACATTTCCAAGAGCAAAGACCAAGATTTATACTAGGACTTTGGTCCCAAGATGAGGACCCAGTGAGTTGTGACCAAATTTAAAGACCAAATTGATGTAGTCTTGAGTGGTCTCAAGACCACTAGATCAAGAGGCCATGGGCCGTTTCTTCAATTGTAAGAAACCCAAGTAGAGAACTCGAGGACAGTAGTACAATACAGTGGGATTGCAATTTGCACCACTTCTGTAGAATCACCTACAGTGGGGAGAACAAGTATTTGATACACTGCCGATTTTGTAGGTTTTCCTACTTAAAAAGCATGTAGAGGTCTGTAACTTTTATCATAGGTACACTTCAACTGTGAGAGATGGAATCTAAAACAAAAATCCAGAAAATCACATTGTATGATGTGAAGTAATTAATTTGCATTTTATTGCATGACATAAGTATTTGATCACCTACCAACCAGTAAGAATTCCGTCTCTCACAGACCTGTTAATTTTTCTTTAAGAAGCCCTCCTGTTCTCCACTCATTACCTGTACTCATTACTGCACCTGTTTGAACTCGTTACCTGTATAAAAGACACCTGTCCACACACTCAATCAAACAGACTCCAACCTCTCCACAATGGCCAAGACCAGAGAGCTGTGTAAGGACATCAGGGATAAAATTGTAGACCTGCACAAGGCTGGGATGGGCTACAGGACAATAGGCAAGCAGCTTGGTGAGAAGGCAACAACTTTTGGCGCAATTATTAGAAAATTGAAGAAGTTCAAGATGACGGTCAATCACCCTCGGTCTGGGGCTCCATGCCAGATCTCACCTCGTGGGGCATCAATGATCATGAGGAAGGTGAGGGATCAGCCCAGAACTACACGGCAGGACCTGGTCAATGACCTGAAGAGAGCTGGGACCACAGTCTCAAAGAAAACCATTAGTAACACACTACGCCGTCATGGATTAAAAACCTGCAACGCACGCAAGGTCCCCCTGCTCAAGCCAGCGCATGTCCAGGCCTGTCTGAAGTTTGCCAATGACCATCTGGATGATCCAGAGGAGGAATGGGAGAAGGTCATGTGGAGACAAAAATAGAGCTTTTTGGTCTAAACTCCACTTGCGGTGTTTGGAGGAAGAATAAGGATGAGTACAACCCCAAGAATACCATCCCAACCGTGAAGCATGGAGGTGGAAACATAATTCTTTTGGGATGCTTTTCTGCAAAAGGGACAGGACGACTGCACCGTATTGAGGGGAGGATGGATGGGGCCATGTATCGCGAGATCTTGGCCAACAACCTCCTTCCCTCAGTAAGAGCATTGAAGATGGGTCGTGGCTGGGTCATCCCGCATGACAACGACCCGAAACACACAGCCAAGGCAACTAAGGAGTGGCTCCGTAAGAAGCATCTCAAGGTCCTGGAGTGGCCTAGCCAGTCTCCAGACCTTAACCCAATAGAAAATCTTTGGAGGGAGCTGAAAGTCCGTATTGCCCAGCGACAGCCCCGAAAACTGAAGGATCTGGTGAAGGTCTGTATGGAGGAGTGGGCCAAAATCCCTGCTGCAGTGTGTACAAACCTGGTCCAGACCTACAGGAAACGTATGATCTCTGTAATTGCAAAAAAAAAGGTTTCTGTACCAAATATT